GAGAGTGTTTTGCCTATGTTCTCCTCTAGGAGTTTTATAGTTTCTGGTCTTACATTTAGATCTTTAATCCATTTTGAGTTTATTTTTGTGTATGGTGTTAGAAAGTGTTCTAGTTTCATTCTTTTACATAGGAGGTGCATTTTCATGGTTGCCACACACTCTCTGATTACTGCTCAGCCAGATATTAGAGAGAAATCCATACGGATTTCAAAGTTTCTTCTCTACATAGTTTTCCCTTCTCTAGTATTCTGCCTTACCAACTCTAGCCATCTTGACCTCCCTAAGTTTATATCCCCACCTCATAAACTCACCAAATGTGCCAGTCTCACTGAATCACCACCTCCCTGTTCAGTGATCCAGAAATTGTAGAAAGCCTGTGTGATCACAGTGATTGTTTCAATAATTTTTCTTCTCTCAGAGATGAGAGTCCTGGGCTGCCTGTTGCCCAGAGTCCAAGACAGTTGCTTCATGTTTTCTTCTATTATCTTAGAAATTGACAGAAATAAAACAAAATCTTTGACTTGTCAGAGTTTAATACAAATTGCTACTATCACTATTTCTCTGATAGTACTAACTGTAAGGAAAGCTGGGAAAACTAGTTTTTATTTCAGGCATTCATGTGCTCAAACTGAAACCTGAGAAAAACTTCAACTAAACACTCCTAAAAGCACATGGAACTGTGAGTGTTCTGAAATTTTAAGGAAGAACTGCAACATGACATCATTAACTACCATTCCAAAATTCTTCTGACAAGCTTGGTCTGTGACATCCATGTCTCATATTCTTACTGATCAGTTTTGACATCCATTGATTGTTCGTTCAGCAAGTCTCCAAACTACCAAGGTCATTTTGAATTTAAATTATTTGTTCCAGACCTATCAAGGTACATAATTATATGAAGGTACTGGGGGTAGGGTGTTCAGGTGCAAAGATATAAATCAAGAGGTAACTAGCATTATAAAGCAGGATGTGAAACATATAAATTTGTTTACATATATGGTATAAGCAATAAAAATGGAAGTCTATTCTTCAAGGTGTTAAATATATCAAGGTGCTTCCTATCATTGGAATGGTATCCTGTGTTCCTTCTTCCAAATGAAAGGAGATGAGTGCCACACAGCAGCAGCCTGCTGAGCTACCAGTTGTAAACCCTTCCATTTATAACAATTCCACTTGGCCAAAAGACTGGAACCAGGATTCCTAATCATCACATGAGTATCTACTCAACAGATTTCAAAACCTGACCTGGTTGACTGCCAATTCAGCTGCCACTGCCTCTGCCTTTCCCACTTCACAGTGACTTTTGGTGGCCACAGAACCAAGTAATGGCAACGCTATCAGCAGAGGCATATATGCCAAGAAGTCAATAAAGTCCTCTCCCTTGTATAGGTGCCTTCCAAGGCCATGAGAACAGCTCTAACAATTTCATAATTGCAAATTTGTATTGTTCTTTTCCCCAGAAGGGCCTCCAAATCTAAAAACTTCAGGCTTCATAAAACCTTCATCTCTTTATATTAACCCATAACTCATCTACTCAGCACCCTACCACAGCCACAATTGCAACATCAACTTACCTACCCCCATAATGCACAAAGACTCTGAGAAAATCCAATGTAGGCGCAAAGGAGAAACACTAGAAACTGCAGGTCTTGACTTGGTTTTCCCAGGAGAGAACAGAACTGCAATGCCCCGGGTGGCTCAGTGGTAAAGAATCTGCCTGCCAGTGCAGATTCCTGGGTCAGGAAGATCCCCTGGAGAAGGAAATAACAACTCATTCCAGTATTCTTGCCTGGGAAATCCCATGGACAGAGGAGCCTGGCGGGCACCAGTCCATTGGGTCTCAGAAGAGTCAGACACAACTTAGAGACTAAACAATGATGCTAGTATCTCCCCTGACATGGCACAACTCTAAACAGCGCTACTGAGTCAGCAGAGACTGAGTCTTCCTACCTTCAAAAGGTTACACAATTCTCTTTTAAAACTTGAAATGCCATGTTTATTCTTGTATTTAATGTAACATTTTATACATGAAAAGCACAGATGTATTTGTCATCTATGCCAATTTCATATCTAAACAAATGGAGACCAAGGTACACAGATCCCCCCATAAATCTCACAGATGGTACACAATAAGAGTAAGGGGCACTTATAGACCAAGTTATTACCAAAGTAAATGAAGTCAGGATAAACTCAGACAACTTGCTCAAAAGAACTACAATTAAAGACCATCATTCTAGGAAATTCCCTGGCAGTCTAGTGGTTAGGACTTGGTACTCTCACTGCTATGTGTATGTGCTCAGTCACTAAGTTGTGTCTGACTCTCTGTGACCCCATTGACTGTAGCCTGCTTGGGTTCAATCCCTGGTTAGGGAACTGAGATCCACCCAACCGAGGGTACAGCCAACAAACAAAACCGTAATTCTGCATCTTTGAAAAAGACAACTAAATTTCATCAGTATAGTATAAACTCAATATGCCCTGTGTGTATTAAACCTTTTCTTAGAAAGTCCTCACAATATCTCTATGATTTAAGCTTTTCTTGTCTCCATTTCCCAACTGAGGAAAACTGAGGCAACAAAATACCACACACACACTCTGCAGTAAAGAAGTGTGTGAAAGTCCTGATTCTATTTTGGGCAATTGGATGATAATCTGGACTCTATTATACTATATGGCTCTTAATAAAAATTGAATATTCATTCAACAAATATGTTTTTAAATGTTTAATTGGAGGGTAATTGCTTTACAGTGTTGTGTTGGTTTCTGCTGTATCACAATGTGAATCAGCTACAAATAAACACATATCCCCTTCTCTCTTGAGCCTCCCTCCCACCTGCCACCTCTCCCCTCTCCCAGTCTCACCCCTCTAGGTCATCACAGAGCACCAGCTTGAGCTTCCTGTGTTAGACAGCTACTTCCTACTAGCTATTTTACACATGGTAATGTATATATTTCAGTGCCACTCTCTCAATTCATCTCACCCTCTCATTCCTCTGCTATGTCCGCCAGTCCATTCTCTACGTCTGTGTCTCTATTCTGGCCCTGCAAATAGGTTTACTAGTACCATTTTCCTAGATTTCACATATATGCATTAACATACAATCTTTGTTTTTCTCTTTCTGACTTACTCCACTCTATATAGGCTCGAGGTTCCTTCACCTCACTACAACTGACTAAAAATTCATTTCTTTTTATGGCTGAGTAATATTCCACTTATATATGTACCACAACTTCTTTATCCACTTATCTGTCAATGGACATCAAGGTTGCTTTCATATCCTGGCTATCGTAAATATTGCTGCAATGAACACTGGGGTACATGTGTCTTTTGAATTATGGTTTTCTCAGGTATATGCCAAATAATGAGATTTCTGGGTCACATGGTAGTTTTTTTTTTTTTTCACATGGTAGTTTTATTCCTAGGTTTTTAAGTAATCTCCATACTGTTCTCCACAGTGACTGTATCAATTTACATTCCTAGCAACAGTGCAGGAGGATTCCCTTTTCTCCAAATCCTCTCCAGCATTTATTGTTTGTAGGTTTTTTGATAATGGCGATTCTGACCATGGTGAGGTGATAACTCATTGTAGTTTCAATTTGATTATTTTTCTAACAATGAGCGATGTTGGGCATCTTTTCATGTGTTTTTTTGGCCATCTGTATTTCTTCTTTGGAGAAATGTCTGTTTAGGTCTTCTGTCCATTTTTTGATTGGGTTGTTTGTTTTTCTGATATTGAGGTGCATGAGCAGATTGTATATTTAGGAGATTAATCTTTTCAATATTTTTAAAAAGAGAAAAGCCCCAGGAGTTCATAGATATAGTTTCAGTAAATATTCTGATACCACTAGATATTGTTTGAAGGCCAGTAATTAAAGGAATCCATTTTCCAAATTCAAATCTATCGAACAACAAATCAAGGGAGACTACTGGTGGCAGAATTTTTTTAACGTTGATGCTGGGAAAGATTGAGGGCAGGAGGAGACAGGAACAACAGAGGATGAGATGGTTGGATGGCATCACCAACTCAATGGACATGAGTTTGAGTAAGCTCCAGGAGATGGTGAAGGACAGGGAAGTCTGATGTGCTACAGTCCATGGGGTTGAAGAGTCGGGTATGACTTAGTGACTGAACAACAACAAAGGTTTTTCATGAGGCATCAGATGCTTTAAACAGTTTAATAATACTGATAAATGTACTATTAGTAACTACAAAAAAATTACTCAGAGACCTCCAAGAGAAGCTGCCTGAAATGTATATAAATAATCAGGCTTGATCTGAAAGGTCTTAAGACTTTGGAGTCATTCATCTGAGGAAACTCAAATCCTAGCATGCATTGTTTCTTGCATATCTCATCCTAGGGAGCAAAAACCACTGATTTAAGTAGGACCCCATCTTCATACACTAGGTTCAGTCCAACACGGAGCTGAATGACTTGTCCTGTTAGACCAGGGTAGACAAGAGCTTCTGGTCCTGAAAATGATGGCTATTGAGCTCCCTCTGGAGGAGGTTAGGACTAACTGACTTGAAAGAGAACTTTGGAATCATCTTTATTCTTTGGCAAACTAGGCACAAAGACTACATAATAGCCACTGGACGCCAGTAGTCTCTATACTGCTATCCATTAAATAAAACATCAGTTGTAAACAGCAAGAATCTTAACCCAAAGTTAGTCTGAAAATCAATCTGAGGGACTTCCCTGGTGGATGGGAATCCACTCTCCAATGCAGGGGACACAGGTTTGATCCCTGGTTGAGGAACTAAGGTCCCATATGCTGTAGGGCAACTAAACCTGCATGCCACAACTAGAGAGTCTGTGGGCTCCAAAGAAGAGCTGATACAGCCAAATAAATAAATAAATATTTAAAAATAAAAGAAAGTAAATCTGAAGCAAATTTTGTTTTACTTATCTCTTTACGTTATACATCTTGTTTATACTTTCAATACCATCCAATTAAGCAAATAAATCACTTTGCTTGTTCTAAGCCAAGAGTAACTTGAGAGACCTGCATAACACTGAGACAGTACTCACACAATTTCTCACTCTATGGCAAGCACTAAGTATATTAATTTAGGTCTCCTGATACATAGTTACTAAAGAAATAAAAATGTGGTCACTTGAGGTGGAAAATCTAAAATTCAGACCCATATACTGTAACTCACATGTGTAATTCTGAACCATATACTGTAGAGCATTATTTCTTTTTACCCTTTCACCTGTCTTATCTGAATTTCCTTGTCTCTGAATTTCGAGAAACAATTTTTCTTACTTATCTGAGATTCCTCTGAATTCCGTTCCTAAAAAGCATCCTTCAAGTTTTATCTCTAAAGTACCTAAATTTCAATTCCTCCATTAGGATGCTAACAAGCTGGAAGTTTACCTTATCTCCTTCACCTTTAACCTCCATGCTGAATGACTGCTACTCATTCAGCTACTTGACAACAAATAATAACATGATATAGAGAGCCATTCTACCCCATCAATAAAATTATCTCATAGTTTATTCTTCGGTTTTTTCAAGTGATTACTATGTAGGTGTTTAATAAATTAATTCATTAATTCACAAGAAAACGTTATTGAGGGTCAATATATGCTAGACACTGTTCTATGCTGGGGAATATAGCAACAAACAAAACATTAATTTCCCTGTTCTCATGTAGTTCATAGTTTATTGGAGGGAGACCATTAATAAAAAAAGTTTGTCAGATAGGGAATGATATATAAAGAAGGCAAGCAGGAAATGGGAATGAGAATGGGGAAAGTTGTCATCTTAAGTAACCTGATAGAGAAAGCTTCATATATGAGTAAAAGCCAGTGAGGAGGTTGTTCTGAACAACAGGAAGGAGTTAAAGGATGGACTCTTGCAGTTACCTGAGGAAAGATATTTCTCATCAGAGGAAACAGCAAGAACAAAGGTTCTGAGGCAGAAGCGCAGCCAGGAACAGCAAGGAAGCCAGTGGGCTTGGAACAGAATGACTAATAGGAAGAGGAATAGCATCAAAGAGAAGGTAGAGGCAGGCTGTGTAGGGTCCTGGAGGTTGTTGTAATGTCTGCAGCTTTTGCTCTGAGTTGACAAGAAACTGAAGATGTATCGCTTCTTGGCCTTTTGGCTAAGATCAAGTGTAAGAAACTGAAGGTGGAACAGTGTTAAAGCGGGAAGATCAGGTGCCAGAAGACTAGTACAAAATCCAGGCAAGAAATGTTGTAAGTAACAGCAGAGGGAGGAGAGCAGTCACTTCTTAGAAATACTTTAAAGGTAGAGCTGAAAGCATAGGTTACAGATATAGAGATGAAGAGAGAAGTCAAGGATTACTCCAAGGTTTTTCTCCTGAGCAACTGGAAGAAACAGAGTTGCCCTTAACCAAAATGAAACATGGAGGAGCAGGTAAGAGGAACACAGGAGTGGGGAAGAGATCAGGACCTTAATTTGGGACATAAGATATCTATTATATGCTTTAGTAGAACTACTGAATGGACAATTGGAAATCTGAATCTGTAGTTAAGAAGTCAAGTCCAGTCTAGAAAGAGAGAATTAACAGTCATCAATATATAAGTGATATTTAAGGCCATGCACCTAGATGACCTCACCTAGGGAGTGTAGAGAGAAAAAAGATCTAAGAACAGAGACCAAATGCTTGTTGGTTACTTGAACTACATAACTATTATATCCCTCACTTTCCCTTTGCTTACAGGACTCATTAAGTTATTAATAGAAACCAATGAGATTCAAATAAGTTCATAGTGATTCTCT